GAGTGGATTGGGGCATTGGGCTAAGGGGGAGAGTAAGATAAGGGGTGAGGGGTTGGGCTGGGTCTGGGCCTTAATGGGATGGGCTTCTTATATGGAGTATATATAACTTAAAAAGATTTATGTGCCCCTTAAATTATTGGGCCCGGCCCGGACGGACACTTTGTCCCTCTATTGGGCCGGCCCTGCTAGTAGCTTTAGCCAAAATAGGGGTAATAGCATGGTGTCCTCCGTAATTTGTATCATCATTCCATAATAGGGGTAATAGCATGGTGTCCTCCGTAATTTTTAAAAAGAGCGTCAAAATTTTTTCTATTTTTAAAAGTCATTTGTAAAATCTCTATGATTTTTAAATTCTTTAATTTCTTTATTATCTTAATAAAATAAAAAAAATATGGTTTATGATTTATCTTTCCCTTCTAAATAAATGTCAATTTTATACTACTCTCTTTGTGTCTATTTTGATTACAATTTTATTTTTTTACTCACTCCGTCCCAATTTATAGTGCTTGTTTCGGTTTACGATGTTTGACTGAAATTATTTTCAATTTATTTTATATGACAAATGGTATAAAGTTAAAAAAATAAAAATAACATATTAAAATATTACATCAAAAGGTCTACAAACCTAGTAGTGACAATAACATTTTATTTTATTAAATTGCTAACGAAAATAGAGAAAGAAAGTGAATAAAGTCTGACCATGTGAATAGTAAACAGACACTATAAATTCGGACGGAGGAAATATCTCTTTTCGATAACTTTTGTTTATTTATGTGTTTTCATTGATTATTTGATAAAATAAAATATTCTTGTCACCTTTTGATTTGTAAAACTTTTGATATAGTTTTTTAATATGTATTTTTTATTTTTTATTAATATACCAATTTATAAATAAATTGGTTACAAAAACCGTGAAATTTTGCCTCGTAATTCCTATTTTGTAATCAAAATAGGGACAGAGAGAATATGTTTTTAAAAAATTTTTCTTGAAAATGTGAAATATAATTAAGACAATAAAAAAGAGGTATAGGGAGTAGGTAAAATGTCTTGAAAGATTGAAAAATTCTATGGAGATGGGGAAAAAATTTCAAAGAGAAAAAAGTAACTTTAATTGGAATTCACACCTTCCATTTTTTTGAACAACACTCCTTTTGTTATAGTAGTTTTCATATTACTCCCTATTTTTTACATTATGGTTTGATTGATGGCAAATATTGTAACACGCAACGAAAAGATAATTTTTGGACAGATGGAGTATCTTATATATTGGAAACTAACTTGATGGAAACTTCAAATTTTAATATAATATCAAAGGTATGAGAAATATAGATTTGTTATTAATATAATTATATAATTGTCCATTAGAACTTAGCAATTCTTTTATAAAATTAACATGATTATCAATTCAAATGGTAAATAAATATCAAAATAGTTATAAATAATACTCCATATAAGGCGGTGCGTCATACGAACTAGGGGTGGGCACGGGTCGGGACGGTTCGGGTTTCTTACAATCCCACGTCCTGTCCCGTTATATTCAAACGGTTCGGAACGGTTCGAATCACAAGCCTATCCCACTTTATCCCATAATTTTCGGGACCGGGATAAAACGGAACGGTTTCGGATTGTCCTGCTTTTTCCTAATTTTTGGACAATAATGAAAATTGAAAACAAAAAGATTGAAAATAAATGCTACAAGAATGTCAACAAGTAAGTACAATAAGTTACTCGACACATAGGATTCCTTGATTTTAAACAAATCCCACCTGTGCAAAGAAAATTTTTTTCCTTCACTGAAGGTAATACTTCCGATTGCAAACAAATACCAAATGTATGCTTGACCTATAGCTATAAGATTATATGCAGTATGCCCATGGGTATTATACAAGATTGCAAAGATGAGATAATTCAAAGTGGTAAAAGGCAATAATGTTTTTAGAAGAGTATATAAAACGGGACAAACGGGTTCGGGATAAAAAAAATTTAAATCCAAAAAAAAAGGTACAATTTCAAAAGGGTTCCGGTATATTTCGGAACGGGTCAACGGGAACGGTTTTCGTGCCCACCCCTAATACGAACCGAAGCATAAATTATTTTAACATATTAAAAAAAAACTTCATACAATAAAGATATTGTGTTTGGTACATGACCAAGTTCATATATCTTGATAAATTTAAAAAAAAATACTCGTAAAATTTAGAACAAAAAAATTCACATCTCACAGCGAGCATTCCTATATTATTTAGGAGAATTTATCTAAATAGTACTAAAACATAATAACTTTCTCATATAATACCATATGTTTTTATTTTCCAATGGAGTACCACTGATCATTGTCCAATGATCAATATTCAAGTAAATGTGCACTGCCACCGGACATTATTCAAGCTAAATGTCCATCATCACTAGACATTGTTCCCGTCACTAGACATTATTCAAGTACTATTTAGAAAATAAAAAAATTTAAGTATCACATTAAAAAACGACATATGCTTTAATACTATTTAGTGCAAATTTCACTACTATTTAAATAAATAGATGCTAAATTTGCAATATCAAATTTTACTATATGAAAACAAACACACCTTTAATAATATTATTAAAAGATTATAACACAAGTTCACTCTTCTAGATTAAAAAAAACTTTTTTGGAACTGAGCACTTCTTTCATTCACACCACAAGAACATTAGAACACAAAACAATTGACAGATCTATACTTTGATCTATACTTTTTTCTTTTTTTAATTATATCCCTATGTTAAAGAAATAGAGAACATATGGAACATATGTTTTTCCTTTTCAAGTGTTAAACAATGGAGAGTATATTATCATCATTTTCATCGCGATCTGCCTTCTTCGAGTGTATCGTTGTAGCTGACAAATTGTCATGGGCAAGTAGAGGTTCAAAATCGCGGGTTTTTCCCACCGACATCTTCCTCTCTAATGCATGAAGAGGTTTGCAACGGTGGAGAATTTGCACAACCTGTTTAAAGGATTTCTGTTCGTGCACGCAAGCCTGAGCATGAACATTGTCTCTAAATCCTCAAGGAACTCTGGTTTCTTGATCTCTGCATCCAAGATTTCGTCAATGGTTGTTCTTTCTGAATGTTGGTGATGTGCCCATTCCACAAGGCTTGCATGCTCGCCCGCAAACATGGGTTCTTTCCCTGTCACAAGCTCTAATAACACCACCCCGAAACTATAAATGTCGAATTTCTCGTTCACTCTTGGCGTATATGCATACTCTGCACGATTGAAAGGGATATATTATTTTCTTTGTTCGGGTGTAAAACGCTGCTGATTTGGTTGAATTGGTTCATTCATATGCTTGTCATTAAATTTAATCAACAAGGCAAATGATAGAATAATAACCCCTTGCATACCAAACATAGAAAACAAAAGAAATGTATTGTTAATAGTAATAGAGAAAATATGAATACCTGGTGCAATATAACCGAAGGATCTAGCAACGACGGACATGGTGTTCGCATCTTTCTTGGCCAATATTTTTGCTAAACCAAAATCGGAAATCTTAGAGTTGAACTCGCAATCCAACAAGATGTTGCTCGATTTTCACGTCGCGATGAAGTCCAACACCTGTATCAGACTACTAAGGGCAGCATAGAACCAGGAAGCTTCAATAGCACACAATGGACAGGTCTTTCAGAGTGTTCCACTGCCCCATCTTCCTCCCCTATTAGTACCATGGTTCCAGCAGCATTCAAAGACTCAAAACAACAGTCCACAAATCAGTAGCAAGGCCAAAACAGAAACCAAATGAAGCAAAGAATTGGGGCAACAAGCTAAGGCCACAAGCACGAAGAGCTTGACAGGGCTATAAAGAAGAACAACTCGGCTTTCCTCAACAGAATAACAATCTTTATGGTTGAAACGTAAATCAAACACCAGGGGGATTCCATGCGTACCTTTCCCTTGTATGGTGTTGAGCATTGGAATCTACAAGACTCAACAATGGTTTCCCATTAAGTTGATATTCCAAAGAAGGCAGCAATATAGAGTTCTATCCACAAACCCCAGCGCTTCACAGAGAGGAGGAGGAGAGGGCATCTATACACGAGAGGAAAGGCCTACCAACAAGAAGTCTCAGCTTTCAAACACCAACGGGTGCCATTCGTACCCTTCCCTTGATGGTGTTGAAACATAGGAATCCGGAGACTCAGCAATGGCTTCCCAACATTGTGATGTTAGAGAGGCAGTGAGAAATGCAGTAAACAAGCCCTACCCAAAAGTGCCACTGCCCATCGGTCACAGACAGGAGGTAGGGAAGCCAGCACAAATTATCATCCAAGCAGCAAGCAGGTTCAGGCATCCCTGTAAAAGTTGCTGTTCGAAAATGGTTATAAGAAATGCAGTAGACTCCTTACTCAAGCGTGGTCAGAACATGGTTCAGGTATAGTCCACATTCTTGTAGTATTTCCATCCAAAACAGCAAAGCAAACGAACAGCACAAGCTGCTAAGCCCAGACCATTCACAGTAACACAGCAAATATAGACCAAGAACATGAACAGTACCATGAGCACCCAAAATCAGAGAAGCCAAGCCCAGTTGTTTGAATAAAAAATCCAACACCAGGTGTAAGAAGGCCTCCAATACATGAACACAATACCAAAAAGTGGGAGCAAAACCAAGCCAATAAAAAATTTGGATCCGGACTTTATATAGTTAAGCTATTAATCTCACCCGACACACTCTGCAAAGATTCACTGGGCTCATCGAAATTTCAAAACTTTCAAGAGACCTTGGTCTCTTCATCCTCGTTCAGGTAGAGACTATACATAGGTGTGATTAGGTACATGTACATGCATATTTGATACAAAACTATGTATTGGCCATCTATATGCAGGAGGGCCGGTATATCACTAACTAGAGTTGAAACAAAGGAGCATATGTTTCCCACTTATTAACTATATATAGAGTATATGTTTTTCTTTTGAGTGTTACGCAATGGAGAGTATATTATTACCACTTTCATCATCATCTTTTGCTGTAGCCGACAAGTTGTCATTGGCAAGTAGAGGTTCCACATCGTGGTTTTTCCCCGATGCCATGCCCTCTAAGACGTGAGTAAGAGGTTGGCAACGTTGGAGAATTTGCACGACTTCTTTCATGGAAGGCCTGTTTGAAGGACTCCTATTCGTACAGGCAAGCCCGAGGATGAACACCGTCTTTAAATCCTCTTGGAATAACTTTGGTTTCTGGATTTCTGCATCCAAGATTTCATCAATGGCTGTTTTTTCTGAATGGTGGTGATATGCCCATTCCACAAGGCTGGCATGCTCCTCCCCGCCGGCGGTGAACATGGGTTCTTTCCCTGTCACGAGCTCTAATAACACAACCCCAAAGCTATAAATGTCAATCTTCTCATTCACTCTTGGCGTATACGCATACTCTGGATGATTGAAAAAAGTTAAAATCATTTTCTTTGTTGGAGTGTAAAACCTTTCTGATTAGGTTGAGTTGGCTCATTCACATGCATGCTTCATATTTAATCAACAAGACAAACAGAATAATAATTGTTTTTATAATAACAAAGAAAACAAAAGAAATGTATTACTCCGTATTAATATTAATAGAGATATTAAAAATGGAATACCTGGTGCTATATAACCAAAGGATCCAGCAACGGCAGACATGGTGTTTGGATCACCTTTCTTGGCCAATATTTTTGCTAAACCAAAATCGGCAATCTTAGAGTTGAACTCACAATCCAACAAGATGTTGCTTGATTTCACGTCGCGATGAACTATGGGAGGAACGCAGTCATGGTGCATGTAAGAGAGGCCCTGAGCGGCACCAATGGCTATTTGCAATCGTTTAGGCCAGTCCAATCCCACATTCTGAAGAACGCCTCTCTTTCTTTCATGCAACCATCTATCAAGACTCTCATTTTCCATATATTCGTAGACCAACAATTTCGATCCCTCGTCACTTGAAATGCAACACATCAGCTTAACAATATTTTTGTGCCTGATTGAACCTAGTATCTCAACCTCTGCAAGAAACTGCTTCTCAAGCTCAAGATCCAACTTTGATTCGCCACTTCGTATTCTCTTCGCAGCAACATACTCACCCAATATCCCAGTGGTAATCTTGTACACTCTTCCTGCACCACCACTCCCAATCATATTGTCTTCTGTTAAATTTGAAACAATGGTCTCTAGACTAAAATCCAACTTTTGAAATGGGATCATCTTCCATGTTGTGACATCAAGCCTTTGGTTCTTCCTCTTCTGGTATCTAATCATGGTCAAGATTAATCCTACAAATGCAAGGAAAACAATGGATGCCAAGACGATGATAAGAACAATAATCTTATATTGCAAATGGCTAGAGAGTTGTATTTTCTCATTGCAGTGTGGAAGTCTCAGGTTGTTAGCACACAAGTTTGAATTGTTCACGAAACTACTTTCAAAGGTGAGGCTGTCGAATTGGTTGGGGATTCTCCCAAATAGCTTGTTTGATGACAAGTTAAGCTTAGTGAGGCTCAAACGACCTAACTCCGGAGGGATTGGACCAGAGAATTGGTTATGTGATAAGTCTAGATCAGAGAGTTTGTGCAAATAACCCAATCCCATTGGAATACTGCCAGAAAGCCGATTTCTTGCAAGATGCAACGTAGTCAAGGATGTCCAAGACAGAAACCTTTGTGGAAGCGGTCCAGAAAGTGAGTTTCCATCTAGCTTCAGTTCAATCAGCTTAGAAAGACCAGTGAATTCTTCTGGAACCCGACCCGAGAGTAGATTGTTACTGGCCTGAAATACAAGAATACCCTTCAACCGCGATATACTAGCGGGGATTTCTCCATGAAACAGGTTGTCGTTGATCTCTAACCTAGTTAAATTCTCAGAGACCTTGTTCGGAAGATTACCAGAGAACGAGTTGTTACTGATCATCACTGTAACCATGTTCTCGAGTGTCCATAACCATGTTTGAATCTTCCCTGTCATTCGATTATTATAAAGTTGAATAACCAACAACGTGCCACAACTCTTAAGTGATTGAGGAATTTCTCCGGTGAGATTGTTATTATATGCTGTTAATCCAGCCAGGGCATTGCCGGCGCATAAGTTCTCAGGCAACGTTCCGGTGATCCTATTATCACCAACTTCTAGAGTTTCCAGCTTAGAATGGAGCCCCATCTCAGGAGGCAAAATCCCTCTCAAATTATTCGAGAATACTTTGAATTCTTTCAGAGATGGGATTCGGCTTATGCCTAATGGAATGTCACCTGATAACTCATTGGAGAAGATAGCTAAAACCTGGAGCCTCTGCAACTCTCCGAACCCACCTGGGATTTCTCCGGTCAAGTTGTTATCGGATAAATCTACTTCAGCCAATCTCGAATTTCCAGCGAAATCGTATGGAATTGAACCTGACAGATCGTTCTTCCACAAATATAAGTTGCTGAGATTTGGAAGCAGAAACAAACCTTGTGGGATTTCACCTTCTAAACTGTTAAGGGATAAATCCAATTTCTCCATGCTCGACAAATTGTTGAAGCTTTTGGGAATTTTTCCGATCAAATTCGTCGACGACCACCAGTTGACCTTGAGATTCTTCAATTTACCGAATTCCTCCGGGATCGCTGACGGGGAGAAGCTGTTGTACGCCATTTCCAGGTTTTCGAGATTGGAGAGATTTCCGATATCGACTGGGAAGGTGCCGTTGAACTGATTGCAACACAGCTTCAGATCTCGGAGCTCCGACAAGTTCCCGACGGTGCGCGGGATGTTCCCGGTGAAATTGTTGTAGCTAATGTTCAGGTACCGAAGCTCCCGGAGCCCGTCGATGTCGCCGGGAATGGGGCCGACGAAGTAGTTCTCAGAGAGGTCCAAGTACTCCAGCTTCGAACAGTTGTACATGAACGCCGGGAATTCGCCGGGGAAATAGTTGTAAGAAAGATCGAGCGTTGTGAGGTTCTTAAGGTCGCAGATTTCACTCGGAATTCGCGAAGTGATGTTGTAGTTACTGAGGAATATCCCGGTGACGGATCCGTCACCGGAGCAGCTTATCTCCGGCCAGCTACACGGAGATGGGGAGGTGGCGTTCCAGCCACTGAGAGAAGGCGGATTACCCAACCGCCGTTTAACGTCGAGTAAGACGTCACGGTCCGTCAGTGGAGGTTGCGAGTTTACCAAAAAGGACATAGATGTGAAGAGAAAATAAGAAGTGAATTTTAAATAGTGCAAGGGTAGATTTATCTTTTTACTGAGAAGAGAGATCTCATTTGTACGTGAAGAAGAAGACATTCGCTAAGTTTCCGGCAACGTTAACGTTAAAAAGAAAAAGAGACGGTCTTTAGGCGATAGAAATATAAATTTTGTCTTATGAATTCTATTTACTATTCCACTCGATATTATATACTCGTAAAGAAGTTTTGTTGATTGATGTGTTTTTGCTTTTTCCTAAATAATGGTAACTTTTTTTTTTTGCAATGTGGTTTTTTTGCACTAAGCACTGATGTCATTAGATGTTTTTGCAATGTATATTAATGTTAAAAGAACCATTCATGTTTTTTTTAATTAAGATATCGATAAAGTTTAATTGGATAGTAATTTCTTAAAATCTATGGCTTATTACTTTATTCTAGTTGGAAGTAGTCACTAGTTAATTTGACTAGAACAATGTTTAAAAAAATTTCAACGACCTCTTTTTTACAACTGGAAAAAAAGAGTTAGATTTGAAAGAAACTTGAAAACTAGAAGAAATTTGAAGTAATTGAAAAAATTGAAAGATTTGGAAGAAACTAGAAAGACTGGGAAAAAACTGGAAAAAACTGGAAGAAATTAGATGAAACTGAAAAAATTAGAAAAAAATGAAAAATATAAAAAAAACTTTAAAAAATTTATTTAAGTTTATTTTTTATATTATTCTCATGTTAATTGTTGATGTTATAATTTATTATTATTACTATTATTATTAGTGTAATTAGTATTATTATTATACTTATAATCACGTATCTTAATCAATGTTACTTAATTCAATAAAAATAAATAAAAGATTAAATAGTAGTAAAACATAAAGAAAGAATCAGAATAAAGCTCTCATGTTTTTAACTACAAAATAGGACCAAAAATTATTTTTTGAATTTGCGCCCATCCATTAAAAAAATCAAGGATGCCTGTTTCCCATCGCAATGTCATAGTGTCACTCAACTGAAAATCTGAAATTAAAATACTAAAGTTGATATGACATAAGCACAAATATGACCCTGTATAATATCAAATATGACTATAAAATATCAAAAATATAATAAAATGTCAAGATACAATGTGATTTGTAAGTCAACATACAATGCCGTGTTTGTATCACAAGCATTTTTTTAGTAAAAAATTACTAACGAGTTGTGAATAAAAGCAATTCAAACATTTTCCCAAATCAAAGTTGAACAAAAGTTATAGGAAACTATAAGTAACTAACACTCAAACAAACCTACAGTGTTGTCAGCATTAAGAAGATTGAGCAGTAGTTCAAGATTGAGCAGGGTTCTCCATGAATAAAGTTTTCATTGCGCGTAACGATGTTTGATTGAAGTTATTTTCAAATCATTTATATGAAAAATGGTATTAAATTTAAAAATAAAAATTATATATATATATATATATATATATATATATATATATAATTACATAAAAAGATTTACAAAACTAAATGTGACATAACTATACGTAGTATTATTTTATCAAATAGGACGCGAAAAAAATCATCCTAAATATGAGTAAAACATAGAGAAAATACCAAAATAGAAGTTTCATATTTTTATTCCCTAAATACGAGTTCACACAATTGTAATGTGACACTATACATGTGCATATCACTATACTTTTTGAGAATATACACGATCATGATTGCTAATGTAAATTCATTAAGTCTTATTTTGAAAATAAAAATATGGAACTCTTATTTTGGTATATTTTCAATATTTTACTCCTATTTTAGTCTTTTTCACAACAAGAAACTCAATTAAAATGATGGTAGCATAAATGTGCTTTGATACCATATAGAATTTTACAGATTACCTTTGTTAAACATAAAAACAGTATTTGTACAAGCTACTAGTCTAACCTAATTGTACATCAGCCCCTCCAGAGTCAACTACTTGTTCCGAAATGTCAAAGAAAAAGAAAGTGCCCAGATTTCACCCAAACCATAGTAAAGCCTCAAGAATTAAAGTTCTTATCTGAATGAGCCACCATGAATTCAGACTGTGTAGAACCTGCATCTTCTTTAGATCCTTCCATGTGTCCTACAAAATTTAACATGCAACTAGGGCACAAAAGTATACTATTTGACACAACTATATAAATATTATACACCAGATAAATATGACTTTTCACACTGAAAAATAACCGTTGTCTATGCCACCGATGGAAAGCTTTCGCATTTACACCATGGGTATTTATCCACAGTGTAAAGTAAAATTAAACAAGATTATCCCAGTGCCTCAAAGGGTCCCACCCGTTGCGAGATTAGGGGGTCGAATGTACACAGACTGAATCTTATCTTTAAAACATAGAGTGGCTGTTCTTGGATGACCATGATGAGCGAAGAAAGTTGCATTAACTAAATGATACTTCGTGGTTGAAAAAGAAGTGCATACAGTTTGCTTTATTCCATCACACTCAAAGTAAAAAAAAATGTTTAGCTCCATCGGGAACGGTGGAAAATAAAATTAAACCTAAAGCTAAAAATTAAAAATAAAAGAAAAAAAACTGAAACAACCAGGAACCAAGTTTCACCCATAACTACCACAAAAACATAAATACCAAGTTCCAAAACCTATAACCACAGTGCAGAAACACCAAATGGAAAATTAAAAACATGTTCCCCAAATCATTCAACTTCTTTACCAAGGAGGAAATCTAGATGCAACCCATCTTCCAGTTTCCCAAGAAATAGATGCAACAAATAGCTTCAATCACCAACAAAGATCAGAAAATAATCACCAATTAATCAACAAACACCAGCAAGTCATCACAAACTAAGCATCAGCCACCAAATTATTAGCAAATCATCCACCAAATAACCAGTAGACCAGCAAGTCATCACCAAATAAACATCAATAATCACCAACAAAGAGCATTATGTTTTTGGCTTTGTTTCTAGCAAAATCAACAACAATGATATACGGCATATATATATAATGTTTGGTACATGAATATATGGCTCACAACACCTCTCTCTTCTAGATAAACTTCAACCATACTTTTTAGTCTTCAACAATTAAACTCCATGAAGCTAAACAACAAGCTTGGTTTTGAGAGAGGGGGAGAGTTTTTTTTAGGAAAGGAGATTATATTAAAAAGAACATTTTGTCAAAAACCACCTCTTAGTAATACCACTTATATATTTTTTAAGAAACCAACTTATATAACACTCCATACTTGTCCTTTTAGATGACCATCTCACCTTTTTTTTTTTTTGAGAACCCATCTCACCTTTCTTAAGAGGTGATACATTTAAAAGGTAGTTTCTGACAACATAAAAATAATCTAGATAAAAAAATGCTATTATCATAAAATGGTTAAATTGCATTGGACTTTTCACAAGTGTAGTGTGCATTCAACTTGTTATGAAGATACATAATGGCAAATAAGACACTCATTCTGATCTCAATAACTACCTATACAAAATTAACAAGTAATTTCAAGGCATCAGAAGTAGAAAGTCCAAGGAGTGATACCTTTTCACAGCCCTTTCAATGGAAAATCAAATCCATAAAATAGCCAAATTGAAGATATGTTTTCCGTTTCGGTGTTAAACAATGGAGAGTATATTATCAACACTTTCATCGTCATCCGCCTTCCTCAAGTTTCTCTTTGTAGCTGACCAGCTATCATGGGCAAGAAGAGGTTCCAAATCGTAGTTTTTCCCTGACATCTTTCCATCCGAGGCATTAAGAGGTTTGCAACGGTGGAGAATCCGCAAAACATCTTTCATGGGAGGCCTGTTTGAAGGGTTTCTGTTAGTACACATAAGCCCGAGCATGAACACCGCCTTCAAATCCTCCAAGAACTCTGGTTTCTTGATCTCTGCATCCAAGATTTCGTCAATGGTCTTTTCTTCTGTAGTGTGGTGGTATGCCCATTCCACAATGCTTGTATACTCGCCTGCGAAATTGGGTTCTTTTCCTGTCACGAGCTCTAGTAACACCACCCCGAAACTATAAATGTCGATCTTCTCGTTCACTCTCGTCGTATATGCATACTCTGCAAGTTTGAAAAACTATATTATTTGCTTTGTTATAGTGTAAGAACCTGTCTGAACCTATAATGACAAATTTGAGCTTTTGGTTGAGTTGATTCTTCTGCATGCTAACTATTTAACCAACAAGACAAAGATAATAATAATAATTATTATTATTATTATTATTATTTTTATTATTATTATTATTATTATTATAACAACAACAACAACAACTTTCATACTAAAAATAGAAAACAAAAGAAATGAATTATTAATACGGAGTAATATTAGACGAAAAATGGAATACCTGGTGCAATATAACCAAAGGATCCAGCAACAGCAGACATGGTGTTAGCATCACCTTTCTTGGCCAATATTTTTGCTAAACCAAAATCGGCAATCTTAGAGTTGAACTCATAATCCAACAAGATGTTGCTGGATTTCACGTCGCGGTGAATAATGGGAGGAACACAGTCATGGTGCATATAATAGAGGCCTTGAGCGGCACCAATGGCTATTTGCAATCGTTTAGGCCAATCCAATCCCACATTCTGAATAACGCCTCTCTTTCTTTCATGCAACCATCTATCAAGACTCTCATTTTCCATATACTCATAGACCAATAGTTTTGAGCCCTCATCGCTTGAAATGCAACACATCAGCTTCACAATATTTGAATGCCTGATTGAACCTAGTATCTCAACCTCCGCAAGAAACTGCTTCTCAAGCTCAATATCCAACTTTGATTCGCCACTTCGTATTTTCTTCACAGCAACATACTCACCAGATTTCCCGGTGGTAGTCTTGTACACTTTTCCCGCGCCGCCACTCCCAATCATATTGTCTTCTGTTAAACTAGATAGAATGGTTTCTTCGGTGAAATCCAACTTTTGGAATGGGGTCATCTTCCATGTCGGGACATCAGGCCTTAGGTACTTCCTCTTGTGGTATCTAATCATGGACAAAAGTAATCCTACAGATGCAAGGAAAATAAAGGATGCCAAAACTACGATAAGAGCAATAATCTTGGGTGGCAAGTCGTTAGAGGGTTGTGTTTTCTCATTACAGTGTGGAAGCCTCAGATTGTTAGCACACAAACTTGGATTGTTCAAGAAACTGTTTTCAAAAGCGAGGCTATCAAATTGGTTGGGGATTTTCCCAAAGAGGTTGTTTGATGACAAGTTAAGCGTATTGAGCCTCAAACGACCTAACTCCGGAGGGATTGGACCAGAGAACTGGTTATCTGATAAGTCTAGATTAAGAAGATTGTCCAAAGAACTAATCGTCATTGGAATATTGCCAGAAAGCTTATTTCTAGCAAGACTCAACGCAGTCAACGATGTCCAAGATAGAAACTTCAGTGGAAGTTGACCAGAAAGTGAGTTCCCATCTAGCTTAAGCTCAATCAGCTTAGAAAGACCAGTGAATTCCTCTGGAATTCGACCTGAGAGTAGATTGTTACTGGCATGAAACACACGAATACCTTTCAACAATGATATATTAGCTGGGATTTCGCCTTGAAATCGGTTGTCGTTGACCTCTAATCTTGTTAAATTCTCAGCGACCTCACTCGGAAGATTACCAGAGAATGAGTTGTTGCCTATCATCACTCTAATCATGCTCTTCAGTGTCCATAACCATGGTTGAATCTCCCCCGTCATGCGATTATTGTAAAGCTGAATAGTTAACAATGTGTCACAACTCTCAAGCGATCGCGGGATTTCTCCGGTCAGATTGTTATCAAATGCTACTATGCCGCGCAGGGCCTTGCCGGCGCATAAATTCTCAGGCAACTTTCCGATGAGTCTATTATCACTGACTTCCATGCCTTCCAGCTTAGAATGAAGCCCCATCTCAGGAGGCAAAATCCCACTCAAATTATTTGTGAAAACTTTGAAATTTTTCAGAGATGGGATTCTGCCTATTCCTGGTGGAATTTCACCGGACAACCTATTCTCGAAGAGCGCTAAAACTTCCAGTCTCTGCAACTCTCCGAACCCGACTGGGATTTTACCGGTCAGCTTGTTGCTAGACAAATCGACCTCAACCAATCTCGAATTCATGGCGAAATCGGATGGAATTGTGCCTGAAAGCTCGTTGTTCCACAAATATAAATGGCGGAGATTTGGGAGCAGAAACAAACCTCGTGGGATTTCACCTTCTAGCCTGTTGCGAGATAAATCCAATTGCTCTAAGCTTGACAAATTGTCGAAGCTTTTGGGAATTTGTCCGACCAAATTCGTCGACGTCCACCAGCTGACCTTGAGATTCTTCAAGCTACCAAACTCCTCGGGGATCGCCGACGGGGAGAAGCTGTTGTACGCCATTTCCAGGTTTTCGAGATTGGACAGATTGCCGATTTCGGCCGGGAAGGTGCCGTTGAACAGATTGCAACACAGCCTCAGATCCCGGAGCTCTGACAGATTCCCGACGGCGCGCGGGATGTTCCCGGTGAAATTGTTGTAGCTAATGTTCAGGTACCGGAGCTCCCGAAGCCCGTCGATGTCGCCGGGAATGGGGCCGACGAAGTAGTTCTGAGAGAGATCCAAGTACTCCAGCTTCGAGCAGTTGTAAAGGAACGTCGGGAATTCGCCGGGAACATAGTTGTAGGAGAGATCGAGCGTCGTGAGGTTCTTAAGGTTGCAGATTTCACTCGGAATTTCAGAGGTAATGTTGTAGTTGCTGAGAATTATTCCGGTGACCGATCCGTCGCCGGAGCACTCTATTCCCGGCCAGCTACACGGAGATGAGGAGGTGGCGCTCCACCGCCGGAGAGAAGACGGATTACCCCACTGCCGTTTAAGTTCGAGCAAGACGTCAAGGTCCGTCAATGGAGGGTGCGAGTTTACCAAAAAGGGCACAAAAGTAAGGAGGAATAAGAGAAAGCTATTATGCTCGTAAGATGTGAATTTGAAATACATCAAGGGTAGATTTGTCTTTCTGCGGAGAAGAGAGATCTCATTTTGAAGTGGATATGAATTGGAGGAAGACATTTGCTGAATCTCCGGCAACGTTAACGTTAAAAGGGGGAATAAATATGCCCGGAGTAATATTATACTCCGTAAAACCAAATTCCCAAATTAATAATCAAAGCCTATTACATTTAATTCAAAAAGAAAAAATCAAACTAGTGTAGTGTTATTTTTTGTATATGATGTTTGACTGAAGAAAATGTACTTTTAGAGTAAGACTCAAAACTTGAAAATTGTAATGTTTACTTATCACCATGGATCAATGCAAACATCATGATAAAGTTTAACCATATAATTTTTTAATCTGCCAAAGACTTTGTGATACATTGACATCAGAATGACCTTCTTAAATGAAAGGTCACAAGTTCAATCACTAGTGGAAGTAACAACTCTCTGTGCTTTGATATGTTGAGAAAGTATGTATGAAATATACTCCCTCCGTCCCGCTATATTCGTCCACTTTTTAACTTTTGGAACTATTCATTTAAGTACTTTGACTCATCAAATTCTCTCAATGTATAAGTCTAAATATAGTCATGTGTAATCTTGTTTGATTTGTCTTAACATATAGATTATTAACATATAATTTCTATAATTTTTTAATATACAAATTACAAGATAAAATAGATTAAAGAAGTGTATTAGATGATGTATAAAAATGAAAGTGAACAAATACTCTAGGACGGAGGTAGTATAACAATATGATATAATTATTAGTGTTCAAAGAAATATAATCTCTTAATCTATGTAGTACACCATATTTAATATACTCCATTTCAAAATGAACTTCACATTACAGTTTAAGATATTTGTTAAATTTATTTCAGATACAAAATTCAAAAATAAAATATTTACTTGTACATTGAAAATATTATATCAAAATATCTATAGAAGAAGAGATATTGTAAATATATTATTTAGTGGAATGAGTAACAAAAATAAGCAAATAAAATAAAAAAAGTTTGATCATATAAATAATAAAGATAAAAATTGTGTGTGACACAAAAGAATAATGTGACCAGAATAATGTGCACTTGTTCTAGATTTCTAGGCCAAAAGGGGTGGGAAAAAGATTTGTTAATAATGGACTTTTTGGACTAGACTATCAAAGTAATCCTTACAAAATCAACTCATTTACCGCTTTATTTTGACCTCACGCCCTGCGTGGCTGCGTCTTAATTATAATAAAAAAAGTCTATTGAAATTGAATTCCTCATTAAGTTGAAAGTCTTCAAAAAATAAAAAAGTCTATGGAGATTGAAAAAAAGTTTTCAAAGAGAAGAAATAAACTGTGGTGAAAGCCAGTTAATTCGAACTCATTTAGTCATTCCTCTAAAGTTTTTTTTACATCATCTCTCATTCTTTGTCCCAAAATGGAAGCATAATTCGAACAACGTGTAAGAATTTATTATTTATAAAATTATTTTAGTTAAAAAATGGTATAGAAAATAAAAGGTATGAATTACACCATTTTAAAAAATATCAAACAAATCTATAAAATAAAAAGTGATAAGAATATTTTATTTTATCAAACGATCAATAAAAACATACAAACAAGTATGAGTTGTCGAAAAACCATAATAGATAATAATGAAGATAAAAATAGAATATTATTATTAGAGTGAATTCTCAAAAAGATCATTTATAATAAAGCATTTTTTCAAATTAGTCTTCAATAAATTATACTTCGTAATTACCAACGTAGTCTTTTATATTGTGATATTTTTTTTCTAAATAGTCATATGTAAAAAATGCATATTAAAGGAAAGATAGATGGAAGCTATTTTGATATTTTCCATCATTTAAAGTATGAGGAGGTCCTCAAAATGTGTTTGTTATATATGGACATTTTTCGTTATATATGTTCTGTGCATTATATATGGAAATATAATTTTGTTATATATGGACATTTTCGTTATATATTTTGTGTGCGTTATGTATGAATGTTGAATTCGTTATATGTGGAACTATTTTCGCATGTGTTTGATATACATATATATATATATATATGTATGTGTGTGTCTGTATATATATGTATGTATATATGTATGTATGCATGTATGTGCGTAAGTACGTATGTATGTTCATTATTATTTAGAGAAATAATAATAATAATAATAATAATAATAAAATTATTATAATTATGGAACGAAAATATAATCAAAATAATAATATCATAAAAATAATAATAAAATAGAGACAACAATTTCTTATATATATACGTTCATTATTCAATATAATAGAGACAACATGTCTATATATATGTTCATTAATATCAGTAAGTCTAAAATAACACCAGTGCTACTGGTGTCATTTGTTTACACCAGTTCGTTTGGGGTACCTACGGTTCCTACCTCCCCTAAACCTCCCACCCCAGCCCACCCTTGTCCCCAGCCCAGCCCCCCCTCCCGCCCCCTCCCTACCCTGGCAGTATATTGCCTGGCAGTATACTGCCAGGGTAGGGAGGGGGGCGGGAGGGAGGGCTGGGGTGGGGGCAAGGCTGGGGCTAGGGTGGGGGGTTTAGGGGGATGGTTAGGGGGTAGGAACCGTTATTTTTACAAACGGAGCACCGTAAGTACCCAAACGAACTGGTGTAAACAATTGGTGTATAAGTAACTGATGTCATTTTAGACGCTCCCCATTAATATTTACTAAAATACTACTATTATGAAACAAAAATATAATGAGATGAAAATAATATTTTACTTTAAAAATGATATAAATATGGAACGAAAAAGTAGTAATATATATTCATTTATTCATATAAATAAATAAAAAATACTCCATGGTTAACAGAGACAATATTTCAATGTATATACTTCATATAATAGAGACAACATTGCCATATATATACATACATTATTATTTATGGAAAGAATAGTACGGAGTATTATGAAACAATAATGAAAGTATTTATATATAAGTTCGCTATCCTATATATATATGTAAAGCAAGGTTTATTTCTTGGAGTGTTGACATGTGGCATGCCACATGTGCATCCACATGTGCATTCATTAATGAGATGGATAATTTCATTAGTCCATTTAATTATTTAAAAAAATCTTTTAACACATTTTATTGTATTACATTCAATAAATATTATATTTTAGTATTAAAAATATTACTATAATTATACTTTGTATAAAAAATGTCATTTTTTTACAATTTTATAAACATATATCATCATTGTAAAATATATTTTGTATTATATATTATATATTTTTTATTATAATGTTTTATTAATGAAAAGTATTTTCATTAGTACTTCATTGAATAATGACCATTAGTTTTGAATATAATTTTTGTTTTTAAATAAACATACCAATATATATTCCACCAGTTTAAAACATACTTTGTTTACATAATTAAATTATATCTATAAAAAAATTTAACTTTATGAATGTTTTGAAAAATAAAGTTTTAATTTATATTATTTTTAAAAATAATAAATCATTTCTCTTTTACTACTTTTAAAGGAAATATTTATAGATTCTTTAGTGCATTTACATTTATATTTAGATTATACTATTGAAAAAAAATATATCTTAGAGTTAAATAAAATATTCATCTAACACATATTATGTCATTATTAGAAAACTAAAATAAATAAAATTATAATTATAGAATGTAAAAAAATGTAGAATATACACGAGCCCGTGCGAAGCACGGGATTAACACTAGTTATAATATAATAATCATAGTAGTAATAATCACATTAGTATTACTCCATATTAGTGGAAAATTTACCATTCATAAAAATTACTATTCCTAAAATTTAATTATGTCTAAAAACATAAATTTTTTTATATATTTTGCATGCGTTAAATATGGAAATATTGAAGTTGTCAATATAATAGAGACAAAATTTCCATACGCATACGTTCATGATTATTTAGAGAAATAATATTATTATGGAACGAAAATATAATGGGATGAAAATAATACGGAGTATAATTTTACTTAAAAAATTAAATTTACATAATATATGAATATGAATTTGTAGGGGGGTATTAATAATAATATATTCATATAAATAAATAAAAAATAGTAAAGGTAACGAGAATATAAAGTCAGGTAAAAATAATAAAATTTACTTTTATATTCTGTTTCTTTTTCGTTTCTCTTTGGTGTGTATAAATAGATTCTGTTATTTAATGTAGATGATGTTTTCACAAATTGTATGAGTAATGTAGTCAATAAATAAGTGTTCCAAATTTGTAATGCATTTGATATTAATGATTTAAAATAATAAAAAACTTTGTATTTCATTACATGGTCTCTTTTTTTCAATACTGACACCAATAAATTTTTGTACTCTAAATACGAGCCGTGCAAACACGAGTATGATACTAGTATTTTTTAAAACAAGTATGAAAAATGAAAAGAAGAAAATTCTTATGAGAGCAGAAGGGTAAAAGTTTTTGGATTATACAATTGGGCTTACACAAAACTAATATTGGGCCAGTCCTAGCTCCACATTCCACATTTGGGCTCACCCATGCTCTGCAACTACTGCTACTACTGTGAGTCTTCTTCCTTCATCATCTTTGCCGTCCTTCATTGTACATACAAACCTCAGCCTCTGGTATTTTACTTTTTCTCTAAGCTTCATCTTCATCTTCGCTGCTTAAACTTTATCGAAGTGTTTTCAAACGAAAATTACGTCTTGGTTCAGTTATCCAGACACGAAACGCAGTTATTATATGTTTTTTTGCTCTTCCATTAATGCATTTTTAGATGGCTCAAATTCGAAATCTGATATAATACTCTGCAGATCTTGTGTTCGACCAATTGTTGCCGAAAATGCCTGTGGATTTTCAAGTTTCGGATCAGCATTTGCTTTGTTTTTTTTCAATTTTGAGATTTTTATGTTATTTAATATAATCTAGACTGATTGGAATGTACTCCTGTCTTAGAACAAGTTATTTTCAACTCAGTATATTTGAAAATTGGTGCAAAATTTAAAAACGAATTATATATTTAAAAACTGGAGTACATAAAAAGTTTTACAAAATAAGCAGTGATTTGACTATTATATTTTTTTAAATGGTCAATGAGAAATGTGTGAAGAAAGAAGATATAGTTTGACCAAATAGTTGATGGTAATCTATTTTGGGATGCATGGAGTATATGTTATATTTTTTAATCTTATATGTGCTTGTCACTTGTCAATTTGTTTTTGAAAATATTAGGAGGATCTTATGCATTAAAATGTCATTAGTTTTTTTATATTAGCTATCAGGAATCATCATTTTTGTCAGATATTCTATTGCTCAGGCAAAATATTAAAGCAGATTATAAAGAAATTTACAGACACTCTGGTTAGCAAGAAATTTAAAGGTCCCAAATACCCTTGCTACCAGAAAGTCTATACATTTTCTTCAGTCAGTTTTGACTGTAAAATTGAAAAAAAACAAACTGCATTGTTATATATGAGTAGATATAAGTATATAACCCATCCTTCGAAGGGAATTGATTTGCCTCTTTTAGGAATATGAACACCTCATACTTTTCGTGTGCCATACATGATAAGATTATTATCTTAGTAAATACATCTGTTTTCAATATGTTGTACACTTATTCTGCTGTGAGTAAATCAATTTCTTACATTTGGTTTCCCCCCTTAATCGGCTGTTGTTTACCTTGTCTCATTTAACCCTTTGTTTTCAGACTATCGGTTATAATTTCCATCACTTCCCACATGGATCAGGTAAATTGCTTCACATCGATTCACCCTTTGTTGTTTCTCATTTATTTCACATATCCTTTACATGAAATTTGGGGAAAATGCAGTATGAAAAGGTTGAAAAGATTGGCGAAGGGACATATGGTGTAGTATATAAGGCTCGTGATCGTGTGACAAATGAAACTATTGCACTGAAGAAGATCCGGCTGGAACAGGAAGACGAGGGAGTTCCTAGTACAGCTATCAGAGAAATATCCCTTTTAAAAGAGATGCAACATGGAAACATTGTCAGGTACATAACATGACACGTTCTTGGAGTCAATGATGTGATACAATGTCAGCTATTCCTGATTATTTTGATACATAAAAATTCATGATATAGTGCATGGGAGGGTAGATTGATTTAGGCTTAATCATAGTCAATGGTTTTACACAATGCACTACGAGTATCATTTTTCCTGTTGTTTCTTGTACGCTTTGTTCTTTGGGTTATTGTCATTGATGNGGGGGGGGGGTGCAAATATACAATACAAGGCAGTGCAACACTGGTACACACATTTTCAGTTATTAAAACATGAGAGAACTCTTTGGAAGCATTCTAGAGGATGTTTTTTTACTTGGTAGCTGATATATGTGACAATTTGTGGGTGAGGTGTATAGACATAGGCTCTTGGTTATTTAATCACCATGTGATGATATGCTTCTCACGTATCTATTCAAGGAATGCCATACTTTGCAACTTTTTTGCTCTCAATTTGCTACTGTGTTCTTCTATTCAAATGTTCTGTGTAAAAAGATCTTTGTTTATTTGATTATTTCTGTGCATCATTATCAAAACTCACATGTTGTGCTCTGACTGTATACACATGTGTATCTCAAAAAATTAGTTTAAGGATCTAGATTTTAGTGTTTATTTGATCTGAAATACCATAGTCATCATGTAGTCTAATAGCGAATCAAAATTCCTATTTTTTGGATTCTTGACAAAATGCTCCCATTGGAATTACCTTTCCATTCCCCAACCATTTCTCTTTTTCGCTCTTCTATACCAGACCCTTTCGATGATCTTATTAATGTATGATGATAATAGGTTGCAAGATGTGGTCCACAGCGAGAAACGGTTATACCTGGTGTTTGAATACCTTGATTTGGATTTGAAGAAACACATGGATTCCTGCCCAGAATTCTCCAAGAATCCACGTATGATAAAAGTGAGTCATCTTTTTATGACACTTATGGAGGTTGTCGTGCAATGTGCTTTAAAGTAAAATGCATTTGTATTAGCTATCGAGTTCAGACGTTTCATCAACTCTATTGTCAAACACTTGGAGTTTGCATATGAATATTTCTAAGTTTTGCTCACTGAAATGCTGTAAGAGATTTCATGAAGGTTGGTTTCTTTATCTTGAAAGGTTACTACAAAATTGCCCTTCTCTATTGGGATGAAACTTGAAAGTTACAGTTAGCTTGCATAGATTAATTAAAGAATTGATTCACTGTCTATTTGTTGCCGAACTTGCTGTTTTTATGCTTGTTCATTTGTATCTTGCAGATGTTTTTGTATCAAATACTCCGTGGAATTGCTTATTGTCATTCTCATAGAGTCCTTCACAGAGATCTGAAGCCTCAAAACTTGTTGATAGATCAGCGCACAAATTCTTTGAAGCTCGCTGACTTTGGTTTGGCCAGAGCCTTTGGCATTCCTGTCAGGACTTTCACTCATGAAGTAGGTGGTCAAGACTTTTTTCATTTGCCACATGTTATGTTGTCTTCACTTAAACTACCACCGCCTCAAGGGAAAACTGAAGAAAGAAAAGAAGAGTCCTATTTAAACCACTTATTTTGTCCCAAAGCAAGCCCAGTTGATCAAACAAAGTTAATTTTAAGTGTATTTTGCCAAGAAGAGTCATTTTAGCTTTTGACACTTAATATCTGATTTTTCATTTTTTCAGGTGGTAACATTATGGTACAGGGCACCAGAGATATTACTTGGTTCTCAGCATTATTCTACTCCTGTTGATGTATGGTCGGTTGGTTGCATTTTTGCTGAGATGGTGAACCAAAAACCACTTTTCCCAGGGGACTCAGAGATTGATGAACTCTTCAAGATTTTCAGGTGTCACATCTTCACCCTGAGATGGTCATTCATGCTGTTTTCTTTTTAAAAATGGTTTAACAAACAATCTGGGCATGAAGATTTTGAAACCAGTTTATGTGAAAATCGATTTTGTCCTCTGCTTTAAAATATGCAAAAACTTGGTAGATCATGTTTTTTGATATACTTTTGATGCCATGTTTGCATGTTTGAAACTCAGAAAATGGTAGGGAAGGAAATTAATTCTAATAAAATGCATTTACAGTTTACACAAATATCTAAAATTGATTTATTAATGTTTGAACCAATCTTCTTATTTTCACCCAAAATTTATCTTCTTCCAAATTTTTCTTCTTATTTTCTCTAATCATTTTTTGTTCCAAATGGATCCCCACGGTTGGTTTGGAACCCGGATACTATCATGGAAAGAAAATATGAATTAAAACTGGTACAAAATTTGAGAGAGTTTGGGGGAAGATAAATGATGCATTCAAACTCGAAAAATCTATTTTAAAGCTTTGTTCAAACTCATTTTCAAATTATATCTATTATAAAAACATTAAGAAAAAAATTTATGGAAAAGAATAAATCATGTTTTGTTTCTCTGCATTTTACAAAGTAAACCGAAACATAAGGAACTAACTTAGCACTTGTTTTAGTTCTCCTAGCATTTTCCGGCATCCAAACATACCCTAAGAGTTTACTTGAAAAATTTTCCTTAATCTGTTATGGAACCCGCAACACTTATTCAGAGCATGGTGTCTTGGAAATTTGTTTTCTTTATGCTTTACTCCATATGTCATGATAATTTGCATCAATGCCACGAGTCTCCATTCTAAATTTAAATTTTTATGCATTTATTTATTTATTTATTGGTGAAGAGTGATGGGCACTCCTTATGAGGACACATGGCCTGGAGTTGCATCTTTGCCTGACTACAAAAGTTCATTCCCCAAATGGCCTCCAAAGGTGAGTGTTGGGTTCCCTTTTGGGATTGTATTTGAGATGTATAGCTATAGCTTCTTGCCTTTGTTTTAATTTTCTCAAATTTTATTCTATATATGTCGTATGTACTTTCCAGGATCTAGCGACTATCGTCCCAAATCTTGATGCATCTGGCATTGATCTCCTCCGTGTAAGTATACATACATGATACACATACAGCTATTATTCAAAGGGGGCCATTGTAAATTTGTTGAACCCTTTGTATCATTATATCTTGAAAATGCCATATCTTGAGAAGTTCAGTTTTAAAAAAGACTCTATCTGTTCTAGGGGCTTATTTGTCTTGTTTGACTTTTTAAAGTCAAACTGGGCAAACTTCGATCATCAATTAAATAAAAATTACATCACATCTTAATAGTAATACAATGGAATAATAATATGATTTTTTTACTTGACAATGGTGTAGAGAAATGCAAGTTTTTTTTATTTCTTCACTAAAACCTCAGGGTCTGCTAAGAACAAAGGGTAAAAATAGGGCAATTGTTCATGTACTATATATTAGGAGAATACAATTATATGAATTGCCCAACATACCCTTGAGGTATAAGAAACATTATTCCTACAATCTGTTTACATATATGAAAAGCACACTCTCTCTAGAAGCTTGGAAAATTTTAGCAACAAAATCATGTAGTATTTCCATTTCCATTGAAGAGAAGCTTTTTTATGTGAACACTTGTGCTGGTTTTCAGAAAATGCTCAACCTGGACCCCAGCAAAAGAATCACAGCAAGGAATGCCCTTGAACACGGCTACTTCAAGGACATCGGTTTTGTCCCTTGAAAAGAGATAAAAAAACCCTCTACACGTTCGCGTGTAAAGCGGAATTGGCAATGTATGTAGTTTGTTCCTTTGTTTTGTGCGAGTGGCTGCATCGCGTTGGGAGTTTGTTGTGTAAGAGTGTTACGGTCTTCGCTCAAAGATTTCGAAATGTGGTTTATCATCTTGAATGTAATTAAGATTGATTATTTATTGCCAGATTCTTGTTCTCTACTCTGTCCAATTTTACGTGTTGAAAGAAGAAGATATTGCATCTCCTTTCTGTGTGTTGGTGATAATGCCAAAGTTATTTAAGTTGTGTTCCGTTTGCCTGATCTGATCAAATTTTTTGAAAATTTGATCTGGTCTGATTTGATCTGATTGCACTTATAATTAAAACTATTTTTGATCTGGTCTGATTATAATAAGAATAAGTAATAAGCAGAAAAAATAAGTTGAGCGGAATGCTGTCTTACTCATTCTTAAGGTTTCAAGTCATTATTTACATATTACGTACGGAGTATTTTATAGTACAATTTTACCACGTACTCCGTATGAATAATTAATAGCCAAATTGGATGAAGTTTGTCAGCAAAAGTTAAGTTGTTGTATTTGATTAAAAATGTCTTTTATTTTTTAATTATTTACAAAAAAGAAGTTGCAAATAAGTTTTGAGACTACATAATTTTTGTTGAAATAAACTAGAATTAGGAAGAAAAAAGGAAGTTAAAGAAACTAAAGGGCTTAATTTCATTTACGGAGTAGTTAGTTGGAAATTTATGGTTTTTTTCTTCAAACTTTTATTTCCTAAGTTATTTAGGAAATATAAACATAAAATTTTTATTTTAATATTTTCTTTATGTTTTGACTTCTATTTAGATGATTTCTTTATTCTTTACCCATTTTTGCTACATAGTTGATAAATTATTATATATTCTTGTCAACTCTTATTTTGTAGATTTTTTATGTAAATTTTATTTTTTAATTTCAACTATTCTTTACCCACGAGTTAATTGTTTTGTAACTAATTATTCACCTTCAAACGTGTATTAAAAACTAATTTTGCACATCCGATTTGTTCTTTATGGAATTGACTTTGTTGGTACACTAAACGTGACAACATGTGCATGTTCAATCCGATTTCTGAAGTTTTATCCAAACAGTCCCTTACAAAAGAAAATGAAATGGTAGGAAATCCGAAATAAGCTTTGGTAACTTGTGAGGCGGTCTGCGCAAGGAAGGAGGAAGGAAGACGATGGAGGACGAGAGGCTTCTGGAGCGAGAAAGGTACCAAATCGAACAGATACGACAGCTCGAATCTGAAGAATTGCAGGTTGAGGAAGTCGACGACGAAGCATCCGAAGATGACGATCCCATGTAAGAGTCTAATTCATCACGAACTTGTTTAGATTCTGTTCGATTTCGGTGTTCATACAGTTCGGTAACTCGAGTATTCTGTTTCCAGTATCTATTTTTCTGCATCCAAGCCTCAGATCGCTAGGAAATTATAATCGGAATGGTTTGAAAGTGCTAGGTGCTCTTGTGCTGTGCAAATTCAATTCCGTTATGTATTCCTTTGAATATCTAACGAAGAAGAAAATGAGCTTTGAATGAGGTAGTTCTCGTTCGATTGCGTACAGTAGGTGGGAAAAGCAGGAATTATGTGAAGTACTCCACATGTTATATGCTATAAGATGTGCAAGCAGGAATTAGGTTGCTAGAAGACAATCGTTACCGTGTAGTGCTGATTACTTGATTTTGTATTCAGTTGGAAACTCGTTTTACTGTGAATTGAGCTGATTAATGATTACACATCTCTTTCATTCATGTTTTTTTTGTGATGCTGTGAATCTGGTCGTCATAGGTTAGGGGAACCGACCTCACCGGGGGAATTCAATTACGACACCTCTTTGGCTGCATTGCATTCATACCTTGGTGGTATGCGCACTTGGATTTTGTTTTTTGCTCCACTTACGCATGAAAAAATGCTGATTCATGTTTATAGATGTTCGTGAAATTGTTCAATTTTTTAAGCATGTGTTCTATTTCAGATGTCGAAGACACTCATAATAGGTTTTCGTTCTTGGATGGGGGAGCTGTCATAGATATTCCTTTATTCTATCTTGAAGGTGGTGTATCCATATCAGATTTACTCAACTATATTAAAATTCAACTTAATTATATGAGTATTCTTTGATTTCATTCATATCAGATTTACCTAAGACTAAGTATATCAACCTAGTCACTGTGTCTTCATTATACCATGTCTGGCCTAGAGTAACTATGGAAACACAACATGGTAAACAAAGGGTAGAAAGAGCACTAGAGTAAGGAAAAATGTTTACTTAATAAATCCATGGGGTGTTTGGTCAATTACTTTTAAGAGGGTTTATTGGAATCAGATACTGAAGTTGTGTTTGGTTTCCATTCTTAGAGTCAAACCATGTCAATTAATATATAAAGAATGATAACATCAGTTACCCATCCTCATTTCACAGTTCGGGTTTAATTTCATCACTATCTCCACTTTTTGGTGGCATTCTTTGTTTATCTTTTAAACTGTCCCATCACTTTGTCATTGCATTAATGCAGTCAAATTGTTATATTCATGCGGTATTCTTTTTTCCATTCAATTTTCCCTGTTTGAACAATAGAAAAGGCATGAAGCTAAGATCCAATGGTCTACACAATCTGAGTTATGGTCTATGTCTTCATTAAATATTGACCTATTGATTTCTTGATGTACCATAAAACATGAACAATAGAGTCCTAATGAACACACAAAAACCTAATCGCTCAGGATTAGGATACTCCCTTCAGATTTCTTTCCTTGGATCATCCTATTCTACCTTAGTACCTTGGTTTTAAATTTCTATTATATTCCTCTCTTTGTTTTTTTCATTACTTAAGGATAGTATCCCCATTCTAACAAAATCAGTCCTTGAACATAATACTCCCTCCATCACTAAATAAACTTCACATCTTAGTTTAAGATAATTGATTGAAGTTATTTACAATCCAATTTATTTAAATGTTTTTTAAAATAAAAAACCATTTTTCATTTTAAAAACAACATCAAAAGCTCTACTCCGTATAAAACAAGAGGTGATTTGACTATATTTTATTGTAACAAATAATGAAAGCAAATAACCAAAGAAAGAAGATATAGTTTGACCCTATGAATAGTAGATGCGAAGTTTATTTTGGGACGTAGGTAGTACTATGTGTAATTTTGTTTTTGCTTTTTGTCCTATCTTCTGCTCTAGAATTAGACGGGTTTAAGGAGTTCGTAGTCTCATAGTTACAACAAGTCCCCTCTTTTCTTTCAGATTTTAAATCGTTATTATACATCTTATTTTCTCAGGAGTTGTTTTATTTCCCGAAGCTACACTTCCTTTACGAGTTGTTCAGTCTAGTTTTATTGCTGCTGTTGAAAAAGCATTGCGACACAATAATGGTCACTATACTATTGGTGTTGTGAGTATATTTGTGGACGTTTTCCTTTCGTTTGTGTGGTGCAATTTTTATTGAATACACCTTTAAATTGGAATGTTGTATTTCTGGAAACATTTTTTCAGATACGAGTTCACAGGGATTCTCGTGATTCAAGAATAAAATTTGCTACAACAGGGACAACAGCTGAGGTACCAAGTGCTACTTAATAACTCTTGTACAGCTTCAATAATGTGAACTAATATATTATTAAATGTCTTTGGTTATGAAGTTATGGATATTCTTCTTCCTCATTTGGATACTTATTAGTTGTGTCATGTATATTACGCCATTACGGCATGTTTAAATCAATGATTCTGTTATAAATAATTTATTTTATCTGTTTTTATTATTTTTTATGTTGTACCCATGTTGTTTGTATGAAACAAAATTTTCTGTCCCTGTGTTCAGTTGTGTTGTGCCCCTAGGGCCATAGGCCTATCCGTCCTTTCAAAAATTAGATACACTAACAGTCCATCAATTCTTTTTTTTTTGCAATTACTTTATTATGTGATTGCATAATGGTTTAGATTCGGCAATATCGGCGGTTGGAAGATGGTTCATTGAATGTTGTTACCCGCGGCCAACAGCGCTTTCGTCTTAGACGCCGCTATATGGATGTTGATGGAGCAGTAAGAGCTTTTTAGATGTGAATACAACAAAGTTTCCTTGTTTATTGTTCTCTTAGTTTGGTTGTTTGATTTATTACTCCTCTTAATAGCCTTGTGGAGAGATTCAAATTATCCAAGAAGACACCCCATTGAGGACACCTCGAGATGCTGTTGGGAGATTGATACCATTGAGAAGATTGCAAGCTGGGGCCGGTGTGAATTTACAAGCAAAATCATTAAATGTTTCTCCAATGGAGCATTATGGATGTGGAAATGGGAATGATTCAGATGCAATGTCAGAGGAAAGCTTTGAAGGTGGATTATCATCGGGAGAGAGAAGGCTTCACCGGTCTGCTATTGTTTCTAATATTGGTGAGAATATGAGTGATGAGTCAACGAGCACTGATTATGATGATGATGATGATGATAAGGCTGTTGAAGAATTAGATGTTCGATTTGGAAGAAGTCGCCTACATGATTTTCTAGGTTCTTTGCATCCCCGACGCAATGAAAAGTGTATGCATCCTAACCAGGAAATTAGAGAAGGATCTATTTCGGATGTGTCATCTTGTAAAGACATTGGATGGAAGAATCAGGTTATTAATCAGACGCGTGAAGTTTCAACGGCTTATTTGCCCAACTGGGTGTATCGGATGTACGATTCATATTGTCTTGCTCAGAGGGCAGCAGGTTGTATGACCTTATTTTTCTAGTCTGCTAAAATAGCATTTTATTTATTGAGTGGCCTTCTTTGAAATCTCTACTTCATAATTAGATATTTTATAGATGGGATTTGCCCGTGATCGTCATTATGAGCAACATAATCCCCACTAATCAGAGTCGGTGGAATGACATTTGTATCACCCAAATATTAGCGGTCTAAAATTAGTCAACACTATAGGTTATTTCCACTTGCATCCCTACACTTTGGTATTAAGTTCAACTCTTTAGATTGGTTCCCCCCAAATTTGTAAAAACATAAGAAGACTGTGGGCTGACAAGTTTTGTTTTTGCCTCACTTTTGTTATGGATCACTTATGATGTGGGTGCTTTAGGCATCTGATGTGCATGCAAGTATGATGAGTCATGCGAGGTGGGACATTTAAAAGTGCCTCAAATTTAGGAAAAATAGGATTGTGTTGTTAATATTGAATTTGTGAAGTATGAATTGATTTGAGAGAAGTATATTATACAGAAT